GTAGAGGAGTCCTGAAATCAAAAAGTTTGAAAACTGTTGCTCATTTTTTAAAAAATCCCATCCCCAAATAAGTAATAGAAAAACAATGTTCCACATTTGGAATACTATCAAGATGAAATAAATAGTTCCAAAGATAGTCTAATCTATTCCTGTTGCTGTGTTCTTTTTCTCCGAGCATTGAACTGTACGTTTTTTGAAGGAAGGCCCTTCTTTCCACAGGACCCCCCTAGACATGCGGCTGGTAGGATCCTCATTTTGCCTGGATCCTACTGTGCAGATAGCGTAGAGATGAAAGGAGTCAGAGCCCTCACTTGTAAATGTGCATCCTCAGCTAGTAAATTGTTTAAATTAATTAGACAAACAAGATGTTTGTAACATCTGTATGTCAGCGTAGTAGCTTGCCAAAGGAAAAAGGCAATGAACAAATGGAAGCCACCAACAGCTGATACCAGCATGCCTCTTTGGACACTAGCTGGCGATCTGGCAGTGGGTGCTAGATAATCAAAAGTTAGATCACCAAAAAAAGTCAAGTCTTAACCTATTATTAGAAACATTTATAGCTATGATTGTGAGTCAGGGAGAGTTATAGCCACAAAGGAGGAGAAACCTCTATTTCCACCTCCGTAGTGATTTTTGTAGATGGCTTGAACAATTTGCTGAAAAGTAAAAATGTACTTTTTTCAACGTTGTTGTTCTCTTGTTCAGGAATCTGAGTGTCTTTGGGAAGCACTTAGGCAGATAGTCTCACCCCCGCATGCCCCATGCTCCAATTCCACTGATGGAGGTGGAGGCGTGGGATGGGGAACGAACCACAAGGAGGTGGGTTCCTTTGTGGTTTGTTCCCCACCCCAGCCAGGGCAGCTGCACTGCCGTGAGTGTTCTAATGCAGCTTCCGCAATAACTACTTTTGGTTTGGTGAGAAAGTGACCCGTGGAAAGCACGTGGTCGTCAGAGGGGACTTGTCAACCGCAGCCACAGCCCCCACAGGGCAGCACGGCAGCTTTCCCACAGCGAGGCTCTCCTAAGCAAGCTTGCCTTGCATCATCAGTTACTTATTCCATTTGACAAAAGAGTTTTTTCAATAAATGCATCATCGCCCAACAGTTTTCTCTTTCACTAATGTGAGTGATTCCTTGCACTTCAGGACTCTCTTTTTACACTGAGAAGTACCTTGTAAAACAATGAAGCTCAGAGTCCTGTTAATTACAGACTTGTGATTCATGTGACTTTTTAGAGGATGCCTCTTGGCTCGAAGAGCTGTAGATAGTTTTAAAATTATTTCTTGGACTTTAGAGGAAGGAATCATAGAACAGAGATTCCGAGAATAGAGGCCACTTCTCTTCACGTTTAATATTTGATGCTTTAAATGGTGTTCTACTCAGAATATTTAACATGGTTAAACTAACATCTTCAAAACAGTCATAATAAAATAAATCTAAAGAGTAATCATGTCTTAATGTAACTGTGTGCTTGTTTTATATTAACATAAAATGATATTGACAAGTTTAAATTTATTATAGTTAACATCTCATTTGGGGTCAAGTACAAAGAGGCAGTATGACTCAGTATGATTGCTCCAAAAACCACAACTGCAATAAAACTATTTAAAGTCAAATTATGTTAGCTGTTGTTATAAAAAGCAAGCACGACACTATTTGCATAGGCACTCTGCTAGGCTTTCTTCACAATTGAGGTCCTTCTGAACATTGGAATAGTTGAAACCCAATCACACAGCTGGAGAAATGTCAATCATTACAAAAATTTGCTATTAAGAAGAGCTTTATTGACAATAATCTCACTCTGAAGAACTTTGCCCACTCCATTTAATTTTGTTTGATAGTGCAATATTAAAGTAAATTAAAACTGATTAAAGACAATCATTTGCTCTTACCGAAATCTTCAAACCGGAAGGGTTCTACCAGTTTTCTCCCTTGCAGGCCTTTGTGTCGGATAATGCAGTTCACTGTTGAATTTATGCTGTATGTGTGGATTGTGAGTGTACTGGTGGTATTACATTTCTTCCCATCAGTTTCAAATTCATGGTGGGTTCCACCTATGTAGCAATTTAAAGAGATGTTTGAGGTTATTCAACGGGCTCGGTTCTATTAGAGACCAATGGCTTTGACTTCATGGCAAACAGATTTCTAATCTTATTCTAACCTCAGTCAGCTGCCTTGTATACGCTGGGCTCTGGTCCCAAAGGCAAGTAGGTGAGCAAGAGTGGTTAAGTTTCTACAAATCCTTCACTATTGGGAAAAAAAAATCAAGGCTTATATAAGATGGACAGCCTGATTTTATTGTGGAACACAAAGACCCAAGAGCTTACTTAGGTTGTAAAAATAGGTGAATTAAAGAATAAGTCCTATAATGAAGTAGAATTGGCACTGGACTGGGAGTCATCTTTTCTCTCTAGAACTCCACTGGGCTTTCGGTTCTCTCAACTGTAAAGGGTCCCTTGCAGCTCTAAGAATGGTGATTATATAGATATTGAAGGTAACATCTGTTGAAAAGTAAGCAAGCTATAAATAGTTCCCAAAGATCGCAGTTAATTAGTTAACTTGTTTCAAAGGCTCAAAGTTTAGATTCTTTGTTACCGGAATGTTTTAATCTGTTCTTGTGGGTGTGACACAGTACAGTACTATACTACATAGGGGAGATCATATCTGTTCCAGTTACATGTATCATAATATTTTAAATGTATTTTCAATTTTAGGCTTGTGAAAAAGTTCATGCTCAGAGGTAATGGCTATATATTATGCCTCTTATTTTAGGAAATTTTGTAAAATTTTAAGAAGCTATTGTAAATATTCCACTTTAAGTTTCTACTTGTTTTGAACAAAACATTTTGATTATCTGTGATTAGCCTTTCAAGATTAATGCATAATATTGATTGGTTATAAGGATAATTTGTCTGGAAAAGAACTGATGAATCATTGGTGTCTTCTGGCGCCTCCTGCCACCAGAGGGTGCCAAAACATTTAAAAATCCCTTGGAAATTTAAGTAGGAAGGAAAACAAAGAAGAAAAGAGAACCATTTCTTTGTCCACTTACCGAAGATCTCCATGCCATTCCCGAGTAGCCAGGTTATCTGCGGAGGGGGCTTGCTTCTCACAGTGGAGCATTTAAGTACAACGTTCTCTTCTCCATTTTGCTTTTTAACAACTGAAGCTTCCAGGGTTGGCTTGAAAGGAGTTGCTAGAAGAAAATGGATTTTTCTGTGCTTAATTAGTTGGTCTACACATCTCAACAAAGCACAGAGCCTAATAATCTGTAGGGATCATTGTAGGGTATAGTCTAATGAATGGGTGTATCTTTTACTTCATCTTTTCCAGAATACAGACATGTTAAAGGGCTTTTATGTGCCTGCAAAGCTACTTTGGCTGAAGTCAGAATGTTACTCAGCGTAGGATTAGTCCCTGAAAATTCCCAAGCAGACTACGTTACAACAGCAATCCTTAAATGTGATATGACTGCATTTGGTTGGTAGAGCACTAGGCGAGGAATAGAGGCCTGAATTCTAGTCCCACCTCTGTCACCAACTACTTATAACTACTTGGGTAAGTCCCTCGACTTCTTGGTATATCAGTTTTCTTGTCTGTGAGTGGGCTCTTTAGGCTCTAAACTTTCAGCTCTAAACCTTGATGAGTGAGTCTATGACTCACCTCAAGGTAAGTTACTTCTGTCCCCTCCTACCATCAAAGGTGCGTTTCTCTTCTAAAGGGGCCTCTTGGCCCTTTTTCTTTGTACTTCTGTCCTGGAAATACCTTTTAGCTGGGCTTATTTCTTCCTTTTTCCCATTCTCCTTCCACTTTGGTCTAGAACTTTGGTCTCCCACATTTATCTAACTCGCTCATTTGCCATCAAGACATTGTGAAGGCACTTACTAGCTTCCAGGGTGCACTAGATAGTGCTGCATGCTGGCAATACAAAGATGAAAGAGGTATGGTCCTTCAAGGAGCTGATAGTTTGCGGGTAGACTCAGCCCCTACACTGTCAATTAAAAGATCATGTGCTGAGTGCAATGGTTGAGGTACACACAGGGTGTCATGATAGCCCAGAAGGGTACACGGCCAGCTTGAGCCAGGATGGTGTTGGAGGTGGCCCGTAAGGCTGGGGGTAGACAACCCTGAGCTGAGTCGCATTGATTCTCAAAACCTCCAGAGAGCCATCCTTCTCAGCTACTTTCCCACTGTGCCTTTACTTTGTGGCAGCCACCGCACTACAATAATTCAACAAAAGAAGTTTAAGAAACTCGTTTGTGTGATACATGGGTTGATGTTACTTAGAGACCAATAAAAAGCAATGTTTTTAATCAATCTGTTCTGCTACAAAAAACAAAAAACTAAAGATATTAAGACAGATACTGGACAGAGCTGACTATCCACAGAACTGAGTCCCAGACGATTAGGAGGTTGTGGCTTCCTATTGGAGCTTCCCACTCCCACTCCCCGGCAGAAGAGAGGAATTGTCTTGGCAGAGGACGTGAGCCAATCAGGCAGTGCAGCTACATCTGAATACATCCTATCTTATCATGTGCTGTCACGAGGCTCTACTGCATTTACATACGTGTTTTGTTTCCTAAATGACTGCGCAAACTCCTTATGGGCAGAGAGTGTGCCTAACTCATCTTTGATTCCCTGGCGCCTGGCACATAGTCACAGCTCATCAAATATTAATTCTCTTTCCGTTTAGTTTCCCAGAGAGAAAAGTTAGTTGATGCCAACGACAAATTTCACAAGTTCACAGTTCAATGTAGGGCTTGCTTCTCAAATTGTTCTCTTCTGTTTCCTTTCAATAAAAGATGGCAGAGGTGCCCCAGGAAATGCCTTGTTATAGGCAACATTTTTTAACTAAAATGTTAAGTTTAAAAATGTTACATCGTGTTCATAACTATATCGCACCCATCCCGGGTTTACTTCCTGGGATACCTACCTAGCACAATCACTGTCACTTCCTTCGTGCTCACGGAGTTGCTGTAATGCAGGCACTTGTATACGCCTTCATCTTGCAGGGTTACGTTAGGCACTCTGATGGACAGCTGACTGGCCGAGTGATGAAGAAGCTGGTATTTGGAATTTTTAAAAGCTGCACAAGAGGGAAATAGAGATATGATGAGGAAAGATATCAGATGAATACAGGTCGATCATCCACAGGAATGGCTTTTGATTTTTGCACTTTAAAGGAAAAAATGTCATGCCTTCAATTGCGCTACCTTCCAAGTTCTAGTTTTCCCAGTTGATGCCTCTCAGTTAGTTTAGGAAGTAAAATATTTTGATAGTGAGAGCTGTGAAATTAACAAAGTGTTTATTTGTGCTTGTAGGAAATTAAGAATGCTATGCTGGCAGAGGGTTCCGGTTGCAGGAGGATTTTAGATCTTTTTTTTTTTTTTAATGAAAAATGCCCCGGTGTGATTTACATCTTTGAAATATGATTCACTTGAGGTCATCCAGTCATCATGAACAGGTACAACGGAAAATAAATGCATTGATAAATGCACTAGCTGGGTGCTTTTTATTTTTAGTATTAAAAGTCTTACTTGAAATTTCTCACAGATTATGACTTAGTTCTCCCAGATGTTTAGCCAATGGCAAAAATGCAAGCTCCAGAAAGTTCCAGAAAGTTCCACCCAATAGCAAGTGCTCCTCTTAACAGTGTATGGATCTGGGAATTCCATCTGTGGTCAAAGTTCCCTTAGCAAATCGGAGGCTTCTGAAATTAGTGTTTTTGTTTATTTGGTTTTGATTTTTACTGTTAAGATTTATAACATAAACATGCCTGAGATAGTTAAATCTGGAATGGCTGACTGAGGAAGGTGTTCCTCATATGGAACAATGTTTGTATGTTCTGGGGCACTGGTGTTATATGAACTAGAATTTAGGAGCTCTCAACCTCTGCTCTGCTAACATTTGAATCAATAATTCTTTGTCGTGGGGGCTTTCTTGTGTATCGTAATATGTTTAGCAATGTCCTTGGCCTCTACCCACTGTTGCCAGAAGCATTGTGCCCCTTTTAAACTATCTCCAGACATTGTCAAATGTTCCCTAGAAGGTAAGATCATTCCAGGTTGAGGACCATCAAGCTAGATCAAGCCATTTGCAGAAATCTGAGAATGTTCACCTCTCCAAGTTCACCAAAAACAAAAACAAAGCAAAACAAAACAAAACAAAAGCATTATTTAACAGAATTATCTCTACTTTAAGTTTTTTCTCTCAGAACAATCAGTATCTACTTATTTTATTGGAATCTAGTATTAATAGTTGATGTAGTTTGAAATAATATATTTGGTTATTTTATATTTAACCTATCAGTATTTAATGATGTTTTTAAAGCGTATCAAAAATTTTTAGAGGCTCTGCTTTGTAAATAAGAATGAAATTTGCTGTTTTAGAGAGTTTTCCAAGTACTTGGCAGTTAGGAATATTAAATGTAGATATAAAATTGTCTCATTATGAAGGAAAGGGTTTAGTGAAATCATACCCAAAGTCAAAGAGATGAAATAAATAAACTTTTAACACATTAACTGCCATGTGAGTTGTATTTAACTCACGCCAGTTTTGAGCCTGGGTCCTCAGGAAGCATATGAAGACTCAATTCTCCTAAACAAATTTAATAAGTTATGTCGTGAGTCACATGCAACTGAAGTGGCGTGCAATGTAAAAACTGATTCTAGTGCCACGTGAGTTGCATATAACTCGTGCAGAAAACAATAAAAAATAAGAAATTTTTCATTAAATTAAAAAGGATTGTTTTGTTTTCAAAGTTTAATTCTCTTTTCATAATAAAACACCATGGCCCCAGGGAAAAATTTTTTTTTCTAGTGCGGCAGTCAATGTATCAAGATTCCTTTTCCATCTCAGGCATCCTGCAGTCATTTCAAGTGTTTGTGAAGAGAGGAATGACTGCCCTCATTTCCGAGGTAATACACCCTGTCATTTTCTACTGCTTAGAGATCTCGATTTTATGTTGAGACCAACAGGAGAAGAAGAGGTATCTGGAAGGGAGCTCTGTCATGTGACTTTGGATTGCTCAGACGGAAAATGAAGCAGGGGGCTCCAGATGTGGGGTGATGGTGTTGACTGCCTGAGGACAAAGGGGTCGCAGTTGGTCGGCTGCCTGTCATTTTGCTGTGGTTGTGTCATGGTCGCTGAGAGTCAAAAAGTGATGAGGGGGTGGGGACACGGAAATGTGCTTTGTAATTTGAGTCCCCTTTGACAACCATTCTGGGGGGGTTTCCATTTCAGACTTCCTGCCCCCGAAAAAGCAGCCCTGTGTATAATAACAGGCTTCGGAGGTGTGATTCACATGTAACAGTGAGTGGGCGGAGCCTACCCTTCTGGTGACTCATGCAGGCTTTCTGTCCCACGGGCCTGGCTGGCTGGAATAACCCTCAGGTTGAGGTCTGGTGGCGATTTTTTTTTCTTTCTTTCACTTACCAGCATGCTCGTTTAAAAAAATGGTGAATCCTGAAGGGGTCAGCCACTGGAGGGAGGCAGCGCTGCTCAGAGAAGTGACACACTTCAGAGTGAGAGTCTGGCCTTCCTCCACGGTGATGGTTTCCGTGTGGTTAGTCAGAAAGGCCTCTGTGGAGGAAGAGAATTGGGGACAGTCAGGGGCCGAGCCACACCTGCAACGTGGCAGGGATTTAGTTTCAACACAACCTCGTTCATTCACTCAATCGTTTATTACATACTTCTTCTAGAAATTAAAACATAAACAAATACCAAAAACTGTGAGGAGAAAACTGAGCACTGTGCGTAGGAGCAGTAAAGATGCCTCAGGAAGGAGGGAAGGGACATCGGGACTAGGTCGACATGAAGGGGTAGGGTTTTGACAGGAAGAAAGGGGAAGCTGAACAACTGTCCCACAGGTACTGGGCACTTGCTCTATCAGATGCCAGGAGCTGTGCCAGGACGCAGCACCTGTATTTAATTTTCAAACTAATCCTATAAAGGAAGAATTATCATGCTCACTTTACAGACGGGGGAATAGAGGCTCAAGGTCGCAGAGGTCGCGGAGCTGGGATCTGCACCCAGGGCTGTGGACTTCGGAGGCCATGCTTATATAACTACATCGGCCTGTCTAAGCTATGAGACCCAGAAAACTCAGCCCTTCTGGCCTCGGTTTATAAAATGGGCATCTTGTACCTTCAAGAACAAGTTGTGTGTCCAGGATTCTAAAAAAGAATGTTACAACTTGTGGTGCTCTGGTGAATTATGGATCTGCCCTTCACGGGGAGTAGCTAAGCCCCACCTGTCAGCACTTCTACACCAGAGGGAAGATGTTCTAAGATCTCTTCCCATTCAATATTCCACATCAGCACTTTCTCCAGGCACACATGAGAGTCTAATTTCCCCGAATCACAACCCCCAGAGAATGATAAATAATTGGTTTTTAAGCAGCTGCAAATTTATCTCCACAAAGAGGAAATTAATGGAAAAATAAACTGGCATTACTGCTGATTTAGCACACTTACTGCCATTCATCATTTCTTCAAATTTGAAATTGAAAAAAATGTTTTTTTCCCCAAGGAAAAGACGATTCCTATCAATGAAGGTATAAAACACTTTTAAAAACAAAATACCATGGGGTTATAAATTATGAATAGCAAATGTTAACAAGTTTTACTGCATCATCTTAAACCTTTAAAAAAAAAAAGCAGAAAGGAGTGTATTTCCTTGTGATAAGTTTCAAGTATTAGGAAAAGGGCTTTGGAGAGCTCTGGGAATTAATTGGTGACGACTTTTTTGTTTATTCCATTTCTAGGTCATTCATTTCAATCTAGCCTCCAGCAGTTATAATCCAGAATTAGTGTATTGTATTCAGATTGACTTTCATGGGAAACAGTTTGCTCGAGTTCTAGTGGAAAAATATCCGTATCATCTGCTGATACTATAATGAACAACAAGGAGCCAATAAAAAGAGATTTGTGTTTTCAAAAAAGCATTGAGGCATAAGGCTAGATTTCTGCTTAGGTTTGGTCATTTGGAAATATTCTTATCTATAGAATTAACCCATAGTTGAGCAATAATGATAATATTAATAGAGAATGAAAATGGAATTTCTTCTGAGGGATTTTTGTTGATAATAAAGATTTGGGAAGTCATGTAATCCCTATTGTGGTATCCTTATGACATTCTTATCAGGTAGATAGGGAAAGTAGAGGTCCTCAATGTTGGCAGTACATTAGAATCATCCAGGGAGCTTTCAAAAACCCTGATGTCCAGGCTATACCCATTACTAATTAAACCAGAATTTCTTGTGGGACCCATGCATCAATTCTTTTGGGCCCAGGCCCAAGTTCTCAGATCATTCCATTCCCAAAGAACACAGTTGTAGTGCAATGAATAATTAAAATTCCAGAGGCCCTGGATGCTCCTCAGATATTTGGAGCCAACACTCTGCTTCTGCAAGAACCATGTGGAACAGGAGGATAAGTATCAATCTTATTTTCAAAGACTTCCAGTGGAAGACATTCTGCCATCCCATTGTATCCAACCCCTTATACCCTTAGCTGGACTGAGTACTCTCTCAGCAGGGGCCTGCGAAATGTGACAAGGGGAAAGTGAGCAAATAGAGACCCTGATCTTGAAGTCATCCACCCCTGAAGACGGGGCACGGGTCAGGGTGGGATGGGTGGTGGTGCCAAGGAGGAGCCAAAATCTTGTTATTACTTTTACCTTTTGATCTTAGTTCCTTCTGTCCTCTGAAGATAAATGTTTTTTCCATAGCATGGTCAAATAATTAAAGAAGATATACCTTTAGTTTCAATATCATTTCCTCATCCCTTCCCAACTGCCACACCTGAATAGACTGTAGTTTGTCCATGTCCTTCTAAAAATATGACTGTTTTTCTGGTGCAGGGGACTCAGGTGTCTGCAAAGCCTGCCAGAGCACAGGGGGACATTCACTTGTCTCACACTGGACCCTGTGGACTCCTTTTCTATTAAGACCAATGTTTCCCTCTTGAGTTGTAACATCTCATCAGGCTCATGGGAAGCAAGTGGTCACCAAAAACACCCAGATCTTTTTTAGAGGACTTGTGGTCACATCACTGTTCCCTCATCCTGTGTTGACGCTTTTCACTTTGGAACCAAAGGTCCGTATTTCACATTCTTTCTAGGTCAGTCTTATTTGGTTGGTTTGGTCTGACGGTTCAGCTTTCTGAGAACATTTGACCGTTGTTTCTCTTATCTGTCATTAGTCCCCAAGGCTTTGTACCATCTGAACTTGAACTTGCTGCAGGGAGGAGCTGTATCATACCCATTTCCCTATCCCCAACATGGGTGGCCTGTGACGCAATGGCTGAAACACACACACTCAAGCCAGATCGCCTGGTTGGAATCCTGGCTCCTCCATACCAACAGCATGACCTTGGGAAAGTTGTACATCTCAGTTTTCTTACTTCAGAAACAGGAAACACAATAGTACTCATTTATAGAGTGGTTGAGATGATTAAATAACATAAAGAATTAAGAATAGGTTCTTTGCACATAGTAAACATCATGTACTGCTATTACTTGGTAAGCAGTGCTCAGTAATTATTTGAAGAGCTGAACTGACTCGCTTTAAAAAGAAAAATTGAAAGGGTCAGTGTCAAAAGACAAAGCTTTGTAGTTCTGCAGCTCTCCACTAGAGACCTCCTTCCCAGATGTCACAGGACTATTCAGCATTAGACATTCCAAGACCCAAGTAGACATTAACAGAAGCAGCAGTTACAGCCACAGTAAATATCTTGTTATTGGAACAGCTCAGGGGAATTAGGGATTTTGAGGATTAGATAGTGATAATGAGTTCTTTTTATTTTGGACCTTAGGTGCCAAGGATAGAATTAATCCTACCA